CTGCCTTGTGGAAGCCTGTGGCTGCTTTCTTGGGTTCTGGATGCAGCTACGTCCTCCCAAGGCTTTAAGGGACATATTTCTCCCTTTGTAGACAGCTGTTCCTTTCGCCTCAGCTTGATGAATGGCACGTTGATGCGACTTTTTTGGTGCCATTCAGTTTTGACTCACTACGGCGCTGTTTCGCTAATCCGATTGGGTTAGCTCCCGCTGGCTGCGCACACCAGCAACCCTCCCCTTTCAGAGCCAAGGCCCTGCTCGGAATTGGGACCGAGCCACTCAGAATGCTGACACAATCGCCATTGCTCGCAGGGGAAAGCAGGACTGTACTACCCCGGACCCCTACGTCTGAGCTCGAAAGGCTACAACAACAACAACAACAACAACAACAACAACAACACAGATTAAATTAAAGATGGACGTAACTATGAGCGATACAACAGTACTAACAACAGTCATAGTACTGGCGACAAGAACCATGACCAAACATGCCCAGCTCGAATACAAAGCACTTGCAGAAATTCAAAGGAAAGCTGAGGAGCTGCAACACCCTCCCCAAGGGCACCGAGAAGAATGATGTGCTTCCTCTTCAGGGTGCCTCATCTTCGGTGTCTCTCCAATGCGGGCACGCTACGTATCCGCGCAATGTCGGGATCCCTTTTGCTTTCAGGAACCCATTTCATGAGTCAGGAACAACTTGAACAGGTCCTCGAAACAGGCTTCTAAGCAGAGGTTTTCGGATCCGCAGCAGCAATGTTAACACTACCCCAAAGCCAGCTGAATCTCGACCCTTTGTGAGCATCCAGCGAGATACCTCTGTCAGCGAGGATTCCCCAAAACGGGGCTGCTAAGTTCGTCAGGACCATTTGAACGGTGTTCAAGATTGCCTCAGATAGAAGTCAAAACTCTAAGCCGCAGTACTTACATGTAGAAACAGCATGCGAATCGACTGGATGGCCATGGCCTTTAATCGCTGAAAGCTCACAGCAGTGCTCACACCTTCACGAAACAAAGCCTCGCTGCAGTCGAGTGGCAACGTCAGTGAAGGTCATGATGTGCTGCTGCAGTCGGAACATACAGGCAGGCACCAGCTGCGAGTCAATACCTGACAATTTGACTGCGCGGCGCATGAGTTCCGTACATGTAGCACGGCTGTTTGATGTTGCACGTGGTTGCCCCAGGTGCCTTCGATGGCAGACGCCAAGCACAGGCACCTTGGATGCGAAAGCAGGGTTTGATTTTGGCAGGGGCAACCCAGAAACAGCTAACAGAGCTACCTAATGTTATCATACAACAGAATGAAAGTGCCCGCCGGAACTCTCTCAGAGCCTGGCACTCGCCTGGACACTTACAGCCAGCTGAATAGCCACATGAACCCCATCAACCTGAATCCCTTGCAGATGTGGTCCAGGGTGGTAATGACGGAGCAAAGCCTACAGGCAAAACTGCATGCCAAAACCAACAGGGAAACAAAAACCTCGCCCCAGACCTTGGAGCAATTAACACCATAAATGCTGATGCCATCGTCGGCAGCATTGCATCCTCATGATCATCGTCAACATCAGGTTGCCGTCATCTAGAAGCCCTAAGGGAGTGTCGCAAAATGGCCCCCTTGCAATCTTTGATGAAAGATACCTGCAACCCTTGTGTAATCATCATGGTAACGCCCTATGGACCCTGTATGTTGACGAACCTGCATAAGCATCTGCGTGCAAACCCTGGCACACCAGCAGCCGCACGCCCGGCTGCCGAGAGACTGGTGCTGCGACTTCCTCCAGATCTCATACGGTTCCCTACCGTTCCTGGGGGACGTATATAACTTATCGGGAGATTGTACAAAAAACTTCTTAGGCCCGTGATGGCAATGTTGTTCCGAACAGTTTTGAGCACACAACAAACAAGCCGTCTCTCTCAAGGAGTGTAACATACTAAAGTAATAGCACTAATAATAGTAATAGTAATAGTAATAGTAATAGAAAAATCATAGTAGTAGTAGTAGTAGTAGTAGTAGTAGTAGTAGTGGTGATGATTAGTTTGAGAAACTCCCTCCTCCGGCTCCGTGTCCTTGCCCGAGGGCGCCTCGGACTCCTCAAGATGCTCTTGGGCTCGCGGAAGATTCCAAGGGGAATATATTGGGGTTATATAGGGATAATGGAAAGGCTACTAAATTACAATAGGATATTTATTAGGGTTATTATCATAGTGCTCTGCAATTCCAATGGGAAGGTTTTGGCATATGGCCCCTATGCAATCCAGGTGAAGGCTTTAGGCTGGGCTTGGAACTTGGATGTGAGCTACTAGTAAGCAGTTCCGAGCTCCAGGACACAGGATGTAAGCAATGCAAGGGATTGCACTTGACCGGGGGCAGGTGCAGGGCTTCGCGGGTTATCACAGTCGTGCATACCTAAAACCTGGCCAAAGGGAAGTCACAAGATTCCATTTTCAAGGCCTCATCTGGGTTGAAAGAAAAGAGACTCCATCCCAAAGACTCCTCCAGCTGTGCTGGCGCAACCGGGGCCAGGCTGCTCGCCATAGCCTGCAGAAGGAGAAGGATTGTCCACGTGGGGAGATCAAGAAGCCACGAGGAGAAAAATCCTGATACTCTGGCACAGGCAGTAACAACAAAGCAAGTACTATTGCTGAAATTCCGACTGTTTCTTGGTCTCCTTACACCACCCGTAGAAGATGAGGAAGCGTGAGTGCTAGGAGATCCTCACATGCCGTCGAGGTGCCGATCCAACGATCTACGCGCCGCACACTTGGAGTCAGAGCTCTAGGTTTAGAGCTTGGTCAGAAACAGCTGAGCGCCCACAGCACGTGGCAAGACACAGAAGGGATTGTCACACGCAACTCTGGCATCGCATCAGAAAAAGTCATCCATCTACACAAGAAGACCTTCGGGGGGGTGGATAGTATGGTATGTTCCCAGAATGTCCAGGTCTTCTGGGGCGCTGGCTTGTCAAGTGTGCCTGTGTCATCAACATCCACCTGGCAGTAGTAGTCGTGATGATGGTTTTGTTGGCTGGCTTGCCGAGTCTATCCGGCTCCGCTTCAAAATTACAATGCGTTTTTGCTTTCGAGGAGACCCTGGCACCCGTTTGTGAGGAGTCTGCGGGGAAGAAGGGGTCCAGCTTTCTCCACAACTGTCGCGGTTGCTGGAGTGGGTCGAGGTTTAGCAGAGGTGCAGTTGTGCCGAAGGTATTGGAAACCAAAGCAGAAGCAATGCTGCTCATGACAGTAGAAGTAGTCAGCACAGCCCTGTGAATCTGCTTTAGAACATCCCCAAACCTGATGTCTGCTCCCGTCTCTGTCCTGGGTTTGAATTCCCAACTGACATTGGGTATTTGTTGCTCCGTACCTTGGCAACCCTCTTCAGATTCACGCTCGCAATGCTTGCGGTAGACCCTGCAGCGAACCAATGTTGTTTTTCGCAGCCTTGTTGAGCACGCTGTGCATCACGTGAAAGCCGGCAGTGAAGCCGAGCTCTCGCAAAGCCCGAGTTGCCTGCAGGGAGGAGAGTAAGAAGAGCGCATCTAAACGGCTAACGACTGCCCGTCACCACTACATTTTAGAACCCCTAGAAAAAGCAAAACTGGGGGACATGACGACTGTGCCTTGGGCATCCCTTAAACCATCAGGCTTTTTGTTATGCGGCTTCGGCCCAGCTCCGGTAAGCAGCTATCAGCACGAGCGAAGAAGCAAGCCACACCTCAAAGCTAGGGTCGCTGAAGACAAACAAACTCTACCAGCTTCCCTTGAACAGTCCTGGGAAACTTGGCTGCCATGCTCGTAAAATTTCTGGCCTGCGGACTTACTACTCCACGTGCTTCCAAATGCTAAGGACCTTTGCCTCGAGCGCAGGGAGTGTACCAGATTCGTCCTGGGAAGCAAACCCACCCCCTCACGCTCGAGGCTGGGGATATGGAGGTTTCCGTTAATGATACTGCAAAGTCATGCTTGGGGTGCGGGGGTCCGGTCTCATATGTTTCATCATTTTCCCCATTCCAAATCGAAAAGAGGAAGTCCCTGGGATTCTTAAGATGCCCAGCATGTATGAGGACACAAGCAGGAGTATACTCAAGTTGCGAGTCATCTTGGACTCATGCTGCTTCTTGAGATTATGTAGCGGTCCCTACATCTCAACGTAGCCAATACGGATTGGATAGAAAATCGCGATTCTTCAAACTAGTTTCTGATAACCGAGTTCCACGCACACATACGACTACGAGTCCCGAAAGAGGATTCTGTCGAATCCTTTCTACAGGGTGCCCTACGCGCTTAACATAGGATCCTTACGGTTGCGTGCTTTTGGGCGCCTCTACTGAAATCAGACCTGCTGGCACCTCCCTCCTCCGCAAGGAAGCACCCAGCGGTCCTTGTCTTGCTTGTGGAAGGATGCATCGATCTGCTGAAGATCCACATTGCAGAAGCCCTGGCAACAGTTCATGCTTGTTGCATGTGTATCTGAAAACCATGTCTACCTGCCTCCTTGCTCAATGCACGACCACTCGTTTTACCGCTTGCTTGTTGTTGCTGCTGCCGCGCTGGCTGCGCGCCGGCTGCAGTGAAGCCGAGCCCCTCAAATTCTAGGCACAAAAAATTATGTGGTAGCGGCGCATGGGCAGACAGACAATACTGACACAAACACCGCGCAACCTCCCGCTGACGATATGTCAGGAGGAGTCGCCACAGCGCGCTGAGATCCATCCTGGGATTGCAACGGTGATGAAGGCCACGCGCCCGTCACCATACATGTTTGTACGTTGAAAGGAAAGCAGAGTGATTATGAAACAGTTGTCCTTGTAGCGTCAACAAGAAAGGGTGTTGCAAACATAGTGCTACCAGCACCAACCATTGGAAGGTTCGCTGAGGGTTGTTCCGACGCCACAGATTGCCGTTCATTGCAGGCAAATCCTTTCCATCGCATCGGGCTTCTCCAAATATGACTGCCTTTTGGGGCGGGTCTTTACAGAGCGGGATTGTATAAGTTGGCTTTCTGCGAGACATGAGCCAATCTAAAGTGGACCGCACAAGTCCAGCCATGAGTTCCGGGTAGAACAGAAGGTATATGGCTGGGACCGTAAGAAAGATACGATCGTACGCCTGGCTTGGGTCCTCATTTGCCCCTTGTAAAGTTGCTATTATGCTGTGAAACCTCAGCTCAACAAAAGCACATGTGTTTATATATATATATATATACATATACACATATGCACCTTTCAAACGTGTTACTCAGCTGAGGCTGCATCTCGGCTGTCGCTACGCCACATTCCTCGGCTGCCTGCCACGATTTGAGAAGGCAGACGGCTTGAGCCATCACAGAAAGGAATCCAGGGCTGGGCTCTATCCTGGAAGTCACCGGTGACAGTTTAGGGTTTAGGGTTTAGCCATGTTATGTAGGGATAACGGAAAAGAAAATGGAAACTGTTATAGTATATTGGGGATATTTAGGGATAATGGAAAAGAAAATGGAAACTGCCATCTTACTATGAGCTACAGTACCTACACAGTATTTTTCTTTTTGTAGTTACTGGACACTGGTTAGCTTTAGGGAAGTTATTAGGGGACTCCTCTGTCCACTCTGAATGGTCCCTTGAAAATACTATTGACAGTAGCTCACATGATTCGGGCGCCGTGCTAAAGAATACGTTGATGCTGGAAGCGGATTTTCGGGGTCTTCGGGCTGAGGACTCAAGCTTCTTGCGTGAAGATTTCCAAACTCGGGAGGGGAGGGCGGGCGGGCCTTCATTTGTGGGGCTTATCCTTTGGAAGTTTCTCCTTCATCTTTGCGACACCCCTGCATCCCCTGATAAACCCCATGTATCCACAGGGTCCTTTCGAGAAGAGCAGGGTCCACCTTGAACCATTCGTTCCCAAAACTTGAGTGATGTATTGTTTGGCCCTTGAAAGCCTAGTAAGAGTGGATTCTTTTCGGACTGTTCTAAGGTGTAGCGCCCTTATTGGAATCCAAAATCCGGCGATCCGATCCGGCGAAACAATCCGATGCATTCCGCAATCCGGAAGCATTCTGCAATCCGCTTCATTCCGTGAATCAGCAAAGGAGTACAACTTGAAA